AACCATATTTACCGACCTGTCCCCTGATTTTCCTTAAAATGCAGAAAAAAAAAAAAAATCTCACCAAATATAAGGCTGGGAAATGCTAGTCTGGGCATCATTGCAAATACCAAGAAACAAGTAAAAAAAAGGAAAAGAAACCAAAATTAAAAATAAGGTGTACTTCAATTCCTAGTAGCTTACACATTGACTCAGAGAAAGTAAAATGGCAAATGTAGAAGTCAGCATATTACATAGTTCAGCAAATCCCATTTTGACCAATAGAATAAGGCATAGTTCAAAATGCTAATCACACGAGTAAATGCATGTACTGTGGAGTGCTATGATTATGCGGATTTGGGGAAGGCTTTGTGGGGGAAGAGGCTTTATAGTAATGTTAGCTAATACATACTTTACTGTGAGCAGGTCATAGAATGGATAGTAAGAAAATAATGAGACAAAGTTCACATGGCAATCCTTTTAGGTCTACTCTCTCAATAAGGGCATAGATATCACCTCACCCTTTTTAACTTTCAAATCCCCAAACACTTCTCAGAACCGTTTCTTCTAATCTCAGCTAACATTAGAAAACAGACAATCATGTTTATCTGGTTAGAAAAATTTATACCAATTTATAAAATGTCACTCTCACTTTCCGGTCAATAGTCACTGGTAGTTTTAAGGTAAGATTTTTAAAAATATATTCCCTAGCAAATACTGCTAATGTTAATTATAGGACACCATAAATTTTTACATACATGCAGATGTATGTAAATCAGTGTTAAATTATGAAGTTTAGAATGGATAAAAATCTGTATCAAACATTATGATGTAAAGAAGAGGAGGATAACAGTTCTCTCTCTCTCTCTCTCTCTCTCTCTTCTCCCTCTCACCATCTTCCTTTCCTTCTTTATTCTCCTCCTTTCTTCTTCTCTCTAAAATTTCTCTGAATACAGTGCTCTGCTGGGTAGCTGTGGTTTTGCAGAATTTAAAACTTAGCAATTTTTAAGTAAGACCATGGTGGCTCATATCTGTACTCTTAGCTCTCAGAAGGCTGAGCTCTAAGGATTACAGTTTGATGCCAACCTAAGCAGGAAAGTCTGTGAGACTGATCTCTAACCACCACAAAGCTGAAAGTATAGCTGTGGCTCAAGTGGTAGAGCTTCTGCTTTAAGGAAAGAAGCCACGAAACAGTGTCAGGCCTTCAGTTCAAGCTCCAGTACCAACACACACACACACACACACACACACACACACACACACATTTTGAATTCTGACACAGCAAGAATAAGTGGTATGTAATTATAACCATAACTCCAGTTGCTCAGGATAGTGACATGAATATTTAAATCATGTTCTATCTTCTTTGTCTGTCCATAACCTAAGATACATAGTAGGTAATAATGTATATTAGACAGACCTAAACTAAAAAGAAAAATCCTCATGCTTTACTACAGACCAATATTTCATAGAAGATTCGAGTTAGCGCCTGAAGAGAAACCATCCCTATCTTGTGGCAAGGAAAACAAATTCCCTTGAATTCACTACTAAATTGCATTTCTCCTTCCCAACTCATTCTTCACCCTGGTCCAGGCCTGCTAATGAAAACAGGCTAAGCCAGCCCATTTATCATGCAGGCAGCTGGTGGGCACCGAAGACAGATGAATCTGAGAATGGAGGCTTCAAGTAATACAGGAAGATGGAAGAAATGATCTCAAACCTGCAACGAGATCACTCAGCTAATGATCAGAGTTTGCTCAGTTCCAATACTTAAACTCCTACCCACCAATCTCACACTGTATTTAAGCATGCCATATGTAAATTCCCAATTAACACCTAAGAGCCACATTGTAGGATTCGAGGGACATTATCTGGTTATATGTTTTCCTTCTTATTCCTTTTAATACTTAACCTGAGAACTCTAGACAGATCAAAGGAAGCAAAAAGTTGGAAAAGAATTGCATTCTTAATTGAGAGTTTGAATTTTCTTTGCATTTCCCTGATTCTATTAATAACACACTAAGCTTTAATCAAGGGAAGTATTACAAACACTTGAACTGTAATAATACAATAACCCTTAACTTGATTAAGAAATGTATCCCATTGCTATTAAAATATGTGTTTGAATTTGGTGCTGCAATGCCAGCTGAAGCTAGCTTGTACTAGCTGTGAAAACATTTTGTGCCTCAGTTTCCAAGTCATCTCTGTAGCTTTAAGTTGGGAGCCTGAAATTAACCATAAGGGATGTATTGATATCAGAAAAAAGTGGCAAACATTATAAAACAGGGCCTTTACCTCTCCTGGGAGGAAAAAAAAATGTACACATTTATCCCTATCCTGATTGCTGATAGAAGAAAGGTACACAGAGTCTCTTCCTTAAGAAGATCTAAAAGCACATCTTATTTAATACAAATAACACCTCTTAGAGAGTCATGAGGAGAAAGGACTGGTCCCAAAATAGCTGCCTCCTGCCCTTGCTGCAGGATCCCCAGATGAACTTCCTTTCCTTCCTCTTCAGAATACCTGGGGCTGCAGGAAGAACTGGCAGGTTCAGAGGGGAATGCAAACCAATGTTAACCTAGGTGAAACACATCAGGGGGTCTCAGTCATTCATGTGTATTTTTAAAAGTAGTGTCTCAATTAAAAACAATACCACTACAAAAATGCCTTCAACCACACCTTCAAAAAGAACAGAATAGCTGGGCACCAGTGGCTCAGGACTGTAATCTTAGCTACTCAGGAGTCTGAGATCTGAGGATCACAGGTCAAAGCCAGCCTGGGCAAGAGAGCTGGTGAGACTCTTATCTCCAATTAATCACAGAAAAAACAAGAAGTGGTGTTGTAGCTCAAGTGGTAGAGTGTTAGCCTTGAGCTAACACTCACTTCCAGAGTTCAAGCTCCAAGACTGGCAAAACAAACAAACAAACAAAAAAGAGTAGATAAGTTAAAAGGAAAATAAAGAAAACAAAACTAACAAAACTAACGCTAAGGAAAACCACTGAAGTTGAAGATAAGCAACTTTGGGGTTCCTGGAATGCAAGGAATAAAAGGAAATGGGAAAAACATAGGAGACCTGATCTTCAGAAAAAGCAACCCCCTTAACTCTCTAATTAATAGACATTTTCCAAATGAAGTATTGAAAGAGCCTAGAACATGAGGGTATAATCACCCAATCTTGTATTTAGATCATTGTCATGTAGATGCTGAAGATTTAATATAGACAATGAAGAGTTCTTAAAGCTATCATCATCATCATCAACATCATCATTTTGATTGGAACAGTATTGATTATCCTATGCAGCATAAAGCCTCCAAGGTTGCTGATTAGACAGGAAAGGGAAAAGACAAATTGAGAGAAAGGGAAGAAGGGAGGTTCCCTAGAAGTGTTTAGTGGTCGAAGGAGCCTTCCCACCAGTTAGAATAAAACTGAAATATAAGCACTCATTAAGACCAGCCCCATCTCCCAGCACTGTCTATTTATCATGGTGAGCCCAGACGGCAGAGACAACAGGTCCCTGCAGAAGAAAAACTGCCATCTGAAATGAATATAATCGTTGTTACTAAGAGCTCAAACCTTAGAGTCAATTCAGTTTTCTTTCCTGCCAAAGGAACCCTTGCCAAGTCCTCATGGGCCTTGGAGGATTCTGGAGACAAGAAGTATTCTATCCCCAAGGGGTTTAACCCTGTGAGAAAGGATGGTTTTATGATCATCTCAAAAGTATGGTCTTGTCAGAAAGGCACAGTGTACCAACCATCTACATGACAGCTCTGTCATTGTCTCTTGAAGTAGAAAGGCATGTTCTATGTGTCCCAACCCTTCATCTTTTCTCCTCTACATTAAATAGATTTATTTCTACTAATAACAAATCATTTTCAAAGCAACTCTGGAAAAATGCACAAGAAGTACCAGAAGGATGTTTACATCTTTTATATATCATGTCATATTTATTAGGATGTAACAATTGTAATTTATTGATAGTACAATCAACTAGTAGGAATGGTAATTGATAGGTTCTTAGGATATCGGAATATTTAACATGAACCAAAATGAGCAGAACCTAGCTAACAACGATAGAGCGTGAGACTCTTAAACTGCACCAAAATTCAGAGCTATCCTAAGTATAATTTAAATTTTCTTCTACTTTATTAGCCACCATCCAAAGATCCTAGAAAATCTTAGAGACAGTTGTGTAGACGCATGTATTTTCTTGTGTTACAGTTACATGGAATATCAGGAAAATAAGTGTTCTGGATAATGAAAGAAAATTTTCTTTATAACAGTAAAGGTATTAAATGTCAGGATTTTATTTTCTTATTTCAATTCCCTTAAAATAAGTCTTATATCTATTTCTGTTTATCTTTTAATAATTTAATTAGCATTTATAAGAGTTTTATCTGAAGCACAAATTAAAAGATAAAGGCAACTGGAAAAATTTTATTTTCATTTAATTTTCCCTTCTTGTCAAAATACTTGTGATCAAGAAATTGTTTAAAAAATTTAAAACACAGAGAAAGTACAGAAAAATATGTATATTACTCAATAGAAATCTGGTAAACAATTTCTCCTCAGATAAAATTGGTGTTGAGAAGTCAACTCCCATATTTTCCTTTTCAATTTAGACAGCAAAGCTACCATTAAGGGTGATTGTGATATATTTGCTCCCTTTGTTTTTTTCTGGGACCAGGAATGTAGAAGGACTGAGAACCTTCAAACCAAACTATGGTATACTCTTGAGTTTAAAATAACTAAGTAAATGGATTATTTTCCTCTCCATTTTTCATTCTTGGCTCTTCCCTTAGCCATTCCCAACAACAAAAAGGATTTTCCAGACATTCAGACAACTGCAATAAAAATAGGCCCCAGATATACTAGGTTGGCTTCCAACTCACAGAGACCCTTTGGCAGGCAATGACGTGCCTCTCTTATATTTTTAAAGAACCACATCAATGAAGACCAACAACCAGCAATGAAGACCAACAACCATCAGCAGCTATAATATTTGAAGAGCAAGCTCACTGACCTTCAGAGGAGAAATGTGTGACTGCAAAACGTATCCGTGGACATTTTCTATTTGAGATAGGTTCTTTTCCGATACATGCACAAGTTCTGGCCCTCTTACTTCATGAGTTAGCCGAGGTAAGGAATGATCGTGTGGAGCATCCTCATCTTGATATCGATACTTCTAGGAGAAAACCAGACAATGGAAAAGAAAGTCATCAGTCTTTGCAAAGGATTCAAGTCTGAGCATAACATTCTAACCCTCTTTGCAGCTTAGACGGTGTGTCTATTGTTAACTCCAACCAACTTCACCATAGACACTTGGTGATCACTATAAGCCAGGTTAAGAAGGAACAAAATTGGATCAATATTAACCACTGCAGATGAGTAAGTTTTGCCTGACAATTTTATGAGCTACAGGAGTAGGATAATAAATGAGACAAAGGAAATTTACTGAAGTCCTGAGCTGGTGGCTCCTGCTTGTAATCCTAGCAACTCAGGAACCTAAGATCTGAGTGCCATGGTTCAAAGCCAGCTTGAACAAGAAAGTCTGTGACTCCTATTTCCAATTAACCAGCAAAAGTCTCAAAGTAAAGATGTGGCTCAAGTGGCAGAGAACCAGCTTTGAGCTAAAAAGCCAAGCAAGAGGTCAAGGCTCTGTGTTCAAGGACCAGTACAAGGGGAAAAAGAGAAAGGAAATGAAAAGGGAGAAAAAGTACTTAAATGAGAGGAGTAAGTCTTCCAATAACAATAATTGCCTAGCATATGCTAAAAATTTCAGCTTACAGATAGAGAAGAAAAAGCATTGTGTTAGATAATGGAATTCTTATAGGTCCCACTAGGTTAGCTTAATTTTGTTTCAGGATTTGTGAAAGCCTTAAGTTTCCCCCAAAGTAAGAAAACAATCACCATCCATATTATTTGTGGTAACCTGAAAGGGAAGACAATTCGCTCTTCTTTTACTTCATATGAAGCATATTGATTTTGGCTCATTGGATTGTAGGACCAAAGATCGCCCATTTTAGGAATGAAACTACCTTTTATAGAGCTTCAAAAATCAAAATAAACCACATGGCTCTACTTCCATGATCCCTGAAGAGAAAGAGACAATGTTTTCTCATAGTTTTCTTTTTCTCTGCTCTTAACCATCTTAATAGAAAAAGCAGCTACACGTCTATACAGATAGGAGAAACCTGAGTCCTCACACACACGCTGGCAAAGGCCATGGTTTGAGCCTTTCAGGCAGATCTTAGGGGCTTATCAAGGAGGGAAGAAGGACAAAGACAAGAACTGATGAGGACATTCATCTTTGATCGAAGGCTCAGTCTCCATCTTCAGCCTTAGCCTGGGCGTCTATGGCTGGGTCCTCTTTCTCTGTCTCTCTGTGTCCCTTCCCTTTACCTTTGGAGGTGTCCCTCTAGAGTCCCCATTACTGAAAGGTTTACACCCTGCCTCACCCGTGATCTTGCTAATAAAATGCTAGTTAGCCTTGGTCCCCCATAGGTATCGAAATATTATCGTAGCACCATCTCAGCTTTAACTGTCATGTATAATACTTTTCTAGAGCCCCATTATGTTAACACCAACAGGTTATCGGAACATGTCTTCATTACAAAGCTATTCACTCATCTTTTAGATGAAAAACAGGTTTTTGTGAACATCAGTTCTCAGTGACAGTAACAAGACCACCCAGGGTTTGTAATTTAATTTGATGTTCACTCCTTCTTAGAAGTGGATTATTTATCAGTACTTGTATTTTCCAACGAATGTACAATGCAGTCTTAATCTCAAAGCAAAAGTCATATTTAGCAATGTCACAACAGAGTTTATGAAGGACTCTTCACTTTCTACCTCCGTTACTACCACTCAGCTATGATGTTCCTTTTTACCTGTGACAACATTGACTTTCAGAGCAATTAAAGCATGTATCCAAGGTCACCTGACTATTCGACATCAGATCTGGGACTGTCTAAATCTTTTGAATCTAAATCCTCTTTCCACCCATGAGCCCCTTTCTATCTCCATAAGCAGATGAAGCCTAAGTCTGATAACTGAATTGACAATAACATCACAAAGAATACAAATAAAATTAGGCCAGAGCACTTCTATAAACTTCAAACATCCTTCTAGAAATGAATGTGCCTGAGTAATAGGGATTAATATTTTGCATTTATTCTTGATCATTTATGCTTTCATTAGGAGTGAAATAATGCCAAACAGAAGACCATCTTAGTGTCTGGGCTTAGAACCCATCTATACCCACATTACACCTCTTTACTAGTTTTCTTTCTTGCAGAAACACTACTCTCTATGTAATTAGCTGAGCCAAAAATGTAGAAGTCAATTAGATGCTATCCTCTCTTTCACCCCCTACCATCTGCCAATTCAGTAAATCACAAAGTCTTCCTGGCTTCTATGCTAAATGAGCCCTGAGTGTAGTTCTTCCTTACCTTCCCAGCTCCCACTACCTTCCCTGTCCACATTCAGGATCCCATCAGCTCTCAGCTAGTCACAGTTAGACTAACTGTACCAACTCCCTTTTAGACTTCCCTTCATGTTCCTACCCGGCAATGCACTATGAGACTTTCTAAACTGTGCACTGACAAAGTGTTCTACACACATACTGTGGTTCCCACTGCACCTGAGGCAGAGTCAAAGCTTCATTATCCTGATGTAAGCTGCCTCCAATGCACTACATGAATTAAGCCCCAGTTCCTTCTGAATTCTACTTGCTCAGGTTTTTTTTGGTAGTTCAATTATTATGGAATAAATGGAAACAAACAATAGCTTCCCATTTAAAGCTTCTTATATAACTTGGGATAAAATACACATTAAATAAATTTTTTCTACCTTAACCATTTTTTAAGTAAAATGGTTCAGAAATGATAATTATATTCACCTTGTTCCCAGACATTTCTGCCCAGGCTGGGTAAACCACAATCATTTGGATCTCAGCATCCTGAATAGCTATAATTACAGGTAGGAGCCAATAGCATACCACCCAATTACAACAACTCTTGTACTATATGATTGTGTCTTTATGTTTTCTACTGGACAATATGTTCTTGTGCAATCTGGAACCACAGTAAGTTGCTCATTTTTCTAAGCACCTACTATTGTAATCTCAATAATTATTTGTTGAAAAAACTTATAAATTAACTTTTAATTAAGGAATTAAATGTTTTTTAAGGTACAAAACTAGTTTGGTTACAAGATGTGATTTCATTTATAAAAGTCAGGCACTGGTGGTTCATGCCTATAACCTAGCTACTCAGAAGGCTGCGATCTGAATATCACAGTTCAAAGCCAGCTGAGCAGGAAATTCCATGGTGCTCTTACCTTCAATCAAGAGGCTCAAACAGTAGAGTGCTAGAATTCAGTGGAAAAAACTATTTAACAGCATAAGGCCCTTAGTTCAAGCTCTAGTGATGGCATACACACACACACACACACACACACACACACACACACACACACACACCCCACGAATAAAATAAACTATTATGTTCAAGTGAAAAAGACAACACATTGTCTGCTCCCTGTTTATTGTAAAAACATCAAACATTTAAGTAACTTATACCTTTCCTCATCATTCTGTAATGTATGCTGAAGAAATAAATTGAAAGAATAGTTTTGTCCTTGGAAAGCCCATAACACTTCTAGGTGAGTTACACATGTACACAGCTAAGGATACATAACAATCCCAACTATGGGTGTTAACTGTGTTCTGTTGGAGCAGAAATAAAACTTCCCAATTTGAAACAGGGTCTCACTAAAGTGGTACAGAGGGAAAAAGGAAATGTGATCAGAGGGGTTGATAGTTGAAGCAACAGCAAATTCACTCCAATCAGTGCAAGGCTTATAAGTAGCACACAACTCAGGATGATTGCCCTTAGATAATAGAAGCCGCCTTTCTTGGATATAAAGAGACAAACCCTGTCATGTGACCTACACTCCAAAACAGTTGGTAGGATCAGCCTCTAGCAAGATTACAACTGCCTCCACACTCCTGCAAAGAGTCTTCTTACTCCCTGCTGGCTTCTCCTAGGAAGTGCCGAAAGCCATACAGCGAGCAGTCCTCACTTAGTGAACTTGGTCTCAAGCTGAAATGGAACTGCACACTGGCTGGACAGTGTGGCAGGAGACAAGACCAATGGCAGGCTGGCATCCAGTGCAGGCGATTGGGAACCACCCAACAGATTTCGGGCCACTATAACACTCCGATCATTGCTTCCTATACTTTCTTTTCATTTTTCAGGCTTCCAGTAGGAAAGACAATAACAAGGATTGATGAGAAAGTTTAACTCAAACTAACATTTCCCAGGGAAGTGAGCTGATGTTATACATAGATTTCTCTGCCAATACTCTAACCTTGATTTCTTTTGGCTGGATCAAAGTTTTGATTGGCTTGTAATACTAAGCCCAATATTAACATCAATAATAATGCTTATGCTAAAATCAATACAAATATGAATCCTAACACTAGCACGATATTAAAATTAATGGTAATAACAGCCACAGTTAATACATCAGGAACCATACTAAATGCTTTGCATCATTACCAATAGAGAAAAAGTTGCTATTATCCTTTCTAGGTTCAGGTAGTTACTAACCTGATGCAAGGCTAATAAGCTTTCAAATGCTTATTAGTGTGACTAGAAGTAGACCATTTAAATCATATTTTAGGATGGCTATGACTCAAGGTTCTTTGCCTCCAAAAACCAGCACTTTTAGGAAATCATCAAAAATCACCTAAAAGAAAGATTAAACAATCCATATCCTGATTTAAGTATCAGTTCCAACGTTATGAAAAACTCTGAATGACTTCTCATTTTCAGGGCTTTGTCATACAAGTACAAATGCCATTTTATACTTCTTACAAAGGGAGGCCCTCAGAGAAAGGCCCCTACTTTGCAGTCTGGACCTTCTCCTTTTCTCTTCAGTCTGGTCCACTAGAGGGACCTCTAGGAAGAAGTCTTGTAAAAAGATACTTGTTCTTCCAGCTCTAAAACCAGGAGAGGCAGGGAAAATAATTAAGATAGGAAACATTGTCTCTAGTTCCCTGTCTTAGTTCATCCTGTTTCTAATTGCAGGAATCCTCTTTTCCCTTCTTACATTTAACCCTCCTCTCCATCCTAGACTCCATTGGGAAGCCTTTTTGGTTTCTGATAATCAGATATAAAA